AGACTTATCAACTTCTGGGGACTCTGTAACACTTTGTGTCAGGGCTAACATTGTTTGGTTGGACTACGACCAACACATGAAGGTGTTCACACATTTTAAAAAATACTCTCTGACTGACCAGCAGGAAAAAAGGTATTCTCCTCCTGGAAACCATTAAAGCGTTACTGAAGATATTTTAACATGAAAACTCCCACTGATTCTATTATTCCTTGTTTGTATCAAAGATGGGAACCTCTCAAAGAGACAGCATCTCACCAGAGACGGGGAATGTTAATGCTGGAGAACTGGTAAATATTTACAAAAAAACCATTGGTTTGTATGTGCAGAAGGTAAAAGCCAATGCCTTGTTAAAAAAAAATGGCTTTTCCCACAGTTATGGGAGTAGTTCTATTAACAAACCAACCAAAATCTGGCTCTTAACAGAAAGTACCTGTGAGGACCTGAAAAATAACAGTTATGGACAGTGAGAAATATTGCTGACAGCCAGTGCTTTACGTGAATGATTGATTAATTGTTGTTAAATACAGACTTTGCTTGGTGGAAAGTAAACATTTATGATGCTTCTATGGTCCTATTAAGACTAATTAATTCCTTCTCCAAATGAAGTGAAGACTAATTAGGCTCTAATATTAATTTCCTATTTGTTCAGGACCCCTGATTTTCATATCACCCTCTTGCAGCCTACATTTTTATGTCTGTGCTTGCTGCAAATCAGAGTGTTTGTATAGCAGGGTGGCAAAATGATATAATACAACCGTAAATGTAATCCGTTAACGTGTGCTAGAGGAGCTACTGCCGAAGGACAATTCAAATCTGAGCAGTGGTAGTGAGGCCATGAGCTACATGTAGAAGTAGACAGGAACTGTTTCTCCATAAACTCTCAAGACAGAGCTTCAGACCAGGAACACAGCTTTAGATGAGGAACCCTTGTGTGTCATTTAGGCCATGCTCAGGTGTTTATCAGTATATTTAATAAAATTATGAGCTTCTCTGTTGAAAATAAACTACTGCTATCTTCATGCTAATCCCACTGCTCCTAACAGACTATGAATAAATACTTGCTTATCCCTATTTCTCTCATATGCTTTCTTTACCTCCTGTATGTCTCCTGCTTCTCTGCTTTCTTCCCTTGATGACAGAAAGACGTTTCTCTCCAGGAAGCTGCTGGGGGCACTGTGCCATCCCCAGCCACCACTTCCTGTCTTTGACACTCCTGAAAGTCAGTGGCCCCTCATCTACCATGTTCTGCTTCTATGGCTCGATTACGCTCCCCTCTCTCAGGCTGCTGCATGTTTCACTCTCATAAATTGCTTCTCAACAAATGTCTGTTAACATCTATAAACATGGCTCTCCAGATTACATTTCCCGCTTGTTTCTGTGGTACTGATGACATCCTCCATCCTAATGTCCTGCACTGCATCTCACACTACTAAACATTGTTTTCCTGCTGATGCAACTCCTTGACCAGTCACTCAGGGCACGCGACTTTCTCCTTATCTCACCATCCTCTACGTTCAATCCACTACTACTGTGTCAGCTGCTCTCACATAACCATACCCTCTATTTCATTTTAGCCATACTTCTTTGATGTCCACAGTATCGATTGCAATGCGCGTAGAAGTTTCTTGTCTTCATAAGCAAGACTCTCCATAACTCTGTCCTGACTGCTCCTTGTTTGTTGTTACTCCTGTCAGTGAGTACAAGTGTTACCATCTTCAACATATTTAATTGGCTTTTTCATAATTATCTGTTGTTTTCCCCTGTGCCATTTTGGAGCTGTACAGTGTTTCTCTAAATTTGAGTTGACTGTGAAATCTGTAAACACTTTTTATCTTCTATATGTCTAAATACTACTGTCACACCTTTCATTAATTATCTGAATAACAGCAGAGCAGTTGAGTGCAAACAGTAAGAAAGTGGCTAAAATTTCTTTTTCATTTTAAAAACTAACACCTTGACAAAGACTTCTCTGTGAAAAGAATACTGCCAATGTTTTATTGTCATCCAGAGAACAGACACAATTTGAAGTGTCTAATAGTGTATAGGAAAAAAGGTTTTTTTTCTATGTTTTCTTACTATCTTCCAACTTTAATAACCAAAAATACAGAAAATGACGCAGTTTCTAAACAATTTTTAATTAAATATTTTTCTAAAGGTCAGTCCCTGAAAGTTATCTCAAAACTTGTTCCCATGAAGAAAATGTATATTACAATTGTTTTGGCACAGAAAAAAAATCACATTAGAACTTTTGCCTGTGAAGTTATTCCGGTGGCTGTCGCGGGAGCACTGCAGGCAGAAAGGCAGTGTGGGCTCCTGTACCTGATGTGGGGAGAGTATCTTGCCTCCTCTTTCTAGCGTTTGCTTGTGACTAGGCAAAAGGCAGCCGGGCTTAATGTCCTGACTTTTCAGTGTATTCCTATCTGTTCTCTCGTTCTGAGGATTCCTGTTTTGTTCCTATTGTGCTGTAGTTCTCCCCTTTCTTCATAAAAAAGCTCGGGTTATTTGCCTGCTCTGTGTGAAATGTGAGCACTGCCCTAAAGCTGCTCTATAACTACCCTTCCTTATAACGTTCTGAGTGCAGTAATTCAGAGCCTGATGTCACACTATCCACCCCGCCATACACAATGGTAGGATGACCTACGGCTAACCTCGCACTGGCTATTAAGGTATTAAGTGGGTGTGTTTCCATTTTTGTTAGTTGGAGACACTGGTTTTGACTATCTTTATAAACTGGTGTGGTTAATTAATTTATAGATGCAGACCAAGTTTTCCATCGTGAAATAGCCTAAAAGGGTCCCCAGTACCACTTCATCATGAGTGACTTGCACTGAGGATGATACAGCCAGTTATCAGGTGGCAAATCTCATTTTCACTTGCTATTTTCTAAGGTTTACCATGCATTTTTACATGGTGTTTTTCTTTGCCATTACTTAAGTTTTGATGCTCTCTTTTGTACTACAGAGCTGTACTCTACATATCCTCACCTTCTCAGAAGATAAAATAATTCCGTTGCTTTTAATTAAATACTAACACTTCTGCCAATTCTTCATGATTTAATACATCCAATACCATTAACATGTGATTAACCTAGGTCAACATATCCTTGAAAATCTGAGTCTTAAATGCAAGAATTTTTGCTTTCAAATCATATCTCACTGTTTTAATAGACTAAGAGTGCAAAAATATGTATACAAATAATTAGAGAATACCTTATCCTTCCTGTCTCACAATATTTCCAAAACATTTAAAAGAGGCATATATACCTATTCACTTTTCTGCTCTAGATCCCACAGGATTAATGGTAAAGAATATGAATCATGAAAGGATGTGGCTGTCGTAATGAGGTTCATAGCTTGGGTTTAAGATTGAGCACTGCAAAAATTCAAGCCCACTGAGGCCAAAATTATACTGTAAAAGACAATCACCTCATCAAATTTTGTGAGACGAATACATAGATGTCTTGCAGTGAATTCACACATGTGCAGCTCATGATGTTATTTGTAGAGTAACTCCCCTCTTTGGATCTTAAGGATTCTAAAGTGAAAACAGGAGATTTGAATCTGAACACTCCTTCGACTCAGAGAATATAAAAAGGATAAAATTCAGATTAATTCTGAGTCCAGGATGAGTTAAGATGAAGATCACAGTGTACAAAAATTGCTTATTAAAAAATGCAGGTTTAAAATGTTACAAATTGGGAAATGTTAAAAGGTTTTCCAACAACATGAGCTTCCTTCAGCACCCGCTGGGTTGCACCATTAAAGGTGGGATCGCAGTTAACCAGACTGCCTAAAGCAAGGGAGCCCTGGGCGCTCCCAGGAGTTACTCGCTGAGCGGTGCCTTCTTCCTGATGCTGTGCCCTTGCTGGAGACTGCGTCCATGCCTGGTGGTGTCTGGCACGGCAGCAGCTATCACTGGGCAAGGAAGACTCACCATGATGCAGATGTCTCTTCTGGAGCAATGGAAGAGGTACCCATCCTGCCCTCCCCACATCTGCTCATTCACTCCAGCAGCTCAGCTTCACCCCTGTCCTGCCCTCCAGTCATCGTGCAAGGTCTCCAACCACAGCAGCAAGACAGCGCTTCATGCGCGCTTCTCCCCTTGCACGGTTAACCACCATTGCTTCCTAGCGTCTCCTTTTCTGCAAAGGACATGCATTGTGGAAAAGGTTCGAGGAGATGTCTCATGCTTTTATAAGATGCAAAACGAGAGCGTGATTGGGCCCTTTGCACTTGCGGCTGTGCTATGAGTGGAAGGGGAAGTTGGGGAAAGGGGAAAAGGAGCAGGGCCAGAGGAACTGAGGACTTGGGGTGTTACGGGAAGGCTTTACAGAAACACACTCACTGAAGGGACCACATGTTACCTGTGCACATATAAAGGATCTTTCAACAGAAAGATCTTACTGAATAAGGGGGCTGACCTCTTCTCCCTGGTGAAAAGTGATAGGACAAGAGGAAATGGATTCAAGTTACATCAGATGAGGTTTAGATTGGATATTAGGAAACATTTTTTCACTGAAAGGGTTCTTAAACATTGGAATAGGCTGCCCAGGGAGGTGGTGGATTCGTCATCCCTGGAGGTGTTAAAAAAAGAGTGGATGTAGTACTTGGGGACATGGTTTAGAGGTGGTTTTGTCAGGGCAGGCTGATGGTTGGACTTGATGATCTTAAAGGTCCCTTCCAACCTTAGCGATTCTATGATTCTATGAATAATGCTTACATATTTGATGATAAAACCATCATCAGCAGTTACCTAAAGCAGGCGTGCATAGCTTCCTGTTATAACACGTTTGTCTTGGCTGTCAGGTGCACTATTGCCTGAAGCAGACTGTCCTTCCTCCCCCCACCAAGCTCAACGTCCCCTTCAGGAGCAGGGGTGCTGACGGTGGGACCCCTGCATGCACCCCGGGAGCAGCTGGTGACAGGGAGGAGGTGTGAAGAGTGCATGTGTTCTCCCACGTTATTGTCACTGCCGCTTCAGTGTCTAGATTGCCTCCACAGGGCTAAACCCACCAGAAGGCCAGGGCTGTGCGGGAACACCGGAGCTGGATTACTCCGTACATCCCTCGGTGCGCACGCTGCAGGGGGCCACGAGCAGCAGCGGGTGGCCAAGCAGTACCTGTGAGCACGCCGAGGCCAGGGCGGCTGTGGGGCCGTGACGCCCACACCTGCCCCTCCACCCTGGTGGGGAGCCGTGGCTTTTCCTCCTCCTGAGCACAAGAACTGTAAACAAGTCGGCCTTCGCGAGACTTCAGGGCTTCAGCATATGTTTCGCACTGTGTTTGTGTGTCACCTTCCCCTGAGACCCCACGTCCCCATCTGCTGCAGGAATGGTTCTTGACTTCCAACTCAGCAAAGTTCTGCTCTGGGCCCAGGGTTGACCACAGGTACCTCAGGTTGCCCGTCATTCCTTTTCAGAACAATACAGTTCTTTAAAATGTAACTTAACAAAATATGAAGAGAAGAAAAATCTGGTAGAAACAAAGTATCTTTATTCTGTATAAAGAAACTGTAATTTTTTGAAGTTAAACTGAACACTGGATGATTCATTCCATATCATGTTTCTGTTGCTAAGGCCTGTACAGTGTGCAGCTAGCGTAGCTTCTCTACACCGCTATGGAGCAACACTTGTTTTGACTGGCACGGTATTAATGTCTTACCTGGAAATAATATTTTCCCATACTAAAGCTTTTAAATATAGTCAGCCATGCCTTTTCCTCTAAAATGCATTCAATTAAGTATAGGTCTTATCCAGGATTCAAAATCTGATATGCCAGGTCTCAGCAAAATGGCATGTGGTGTTCACCAAAGGCTGTTTAAAACAGAAGTCTGTCTCTATTACACTCATGGCCTAGTTTGGTTTTGCACATGCCTGAGTGACATTCCACTAAAGCTAAGTATATTGCTGCATGTCATTGTGTGAATTAAATATATGAGATGGAATACAGCCATGCAAAGCTGGCAATTTCTGCTCTTTTTCACTGCTTACAGAAAGCGCATTTATGTTGCACTTCTTGCTTCTGATATCAAAGGTGTAATAACAAGTTAATGAAGTAGCTCAGTTAAAAGCATTGAGGCAGAAACAAGAATTAAAGGACCGAAGGGACAGAGACACAACTGCTCCTCAAAGGAGAACAGTAGTGTGGTGATGTTGGCTACGGCAAGTTGCCTACTGGGCTAGGATGTTGCTTATGCTGCCTGGAGAGGCATGCCCTCGCTCAGAACTGGGAAAAGTGAAAAGCTGCAGGTGGAAACACAGACATCCAACGTGCTCCAACGTAATGTGGCCCAGCACATATACAATATTTGTATTCTCTAATCATTGATTTCTGAAAATTGTAGTTGTTAAGAAACAGAAATAATAGTTGTCACCTGGAGGTATGTGGTCTCAAGAACATGACAGATTTTAGCTCTACGTAGTGTAGGCACATACGGGGAAAAACTTTTGTCCCACAAAGCTCAGCTTCAGAACGCTAAGCTGTGCTACTGGCCCTTTCTCCAGCATTC